GGATTTTTATCACAGTGAAGTGTGTGAGATTTACACCATCCTGATAACATTTCTCAGCTTGACCTCAGATGTATCCTGCGACCTCTAAGATCCATGGAGTTATTTAAGAATTTTTACCTGTGTCTTTTCCTCAAAGCGCCTTCTCCAGCTTTCCACCTGCTGCTGCTGTAATTTGTCTGAGGGAATGGGAATTTTTTCCTGTAACCCACACTCCAGGTTGTTTTCCCCTTTATGAAATCCCCGTGCAGCTGATGATGTGCGTGGCGTGTCTTGCTGTGTCGGCACAGCTTGTACCCATCCACAGCCAGCTGGCTGCAGTGGGGGAGCTCGGTTTACAAAGCGCCTGATTCATATTTACATTGGGCTGGGATTTTTTGAAAATTTCCCCTCGGAGATTAATCTAATTAATTGCACAGTTGTTACCTGTTGCTGGTTTAGCACACAGATCAAGTGAAGGAGATATGGGATGTTTCCAAGTGGTACCTTGGTGTCTTCTCTGAGATGTCCATACAGTGCCTTATAGCTCAGAGGGGAGTATGGAAGGAACTTAAAACTGTCCTTTTAAGCAATATTCATGCACTGATGACAGTCTTGGTTGCTCCCTGCTGATCTGGTAAATTCTGCAGCGTGATGGGAACCAGCTAATGGTAACTGGGAACCAATTTATTGCCTGGAGGATGTGTAGGTGTTAACATGAGTAAACCTAGAAATCCCCACTGTGGAATTATAACCATAATGATGAATAACTTAACAATGATAGAGCTCGGTCTGATGTGTAGATCCAACTGTTCTTGTGGGAAAGGTAATGGTGTCGGGATGAATAGTTTGGCTTCCTCATTCTGTGAAGATCAAGGTTACAGAAGGAGGGTTGTCTGTGATAATCCAAGCTGGAAGCAGGCAGAGGCTGGAGAGGAGTTACCCAGGGCGTGGGTCTCATACCCCCCACTCCCTACTTGAAATACCCTCCGGAGTTTAAAAGCAGCCTGGGTGGCTTTGTGGTGCTAATGTTGTCCATGATTCCAGTGTTTTGTAATCCAGCTGTTACAGTGCTCTTTGAAGGAATTAGTTCTTCACTTGCATCTCCTTTCTCAGAGTAATGGCCCAGTGCTGACATTGCAGGGGATCCCAGCGTGGGGGTGGCTCCCATCACGATCAGTGTGTACAGGGCAAGTTCTCTCTGTTCAACTCACTTCAAGATTTGTGTGCCTCGGTGGGAAACACAGTGTCAGATCCAGGACTCCTGGACCTCCCCCTGCTTAGTCTCACCCTGACTGCTCCTTTTTTTCCTCATCTCCTCTCCCTCAGGTCCGCAAAGCTCTGCGTAGCACGGAAGCGTACGAGAACTTCCTGCGCTGCCTGGTTATTTTCAACCAGGAGGTGATCTCCAGGGCTGAGCTTGTGCAGCTGGTTTCTCCATTCCTGGGGTAAGTGCAGCCCCTTTCCTGCTCTGTTTCTGTTGTGGAGCCAGGAAAGAAACACTCACCTTCATGATCTCTTGCACTGCCCTTTCCTATTCCTTATCCCAGAGAGATTCCCAGCTGTGTCCTGACAGGCAGCATGCAGGAGCAGTACAGGTGTTGCTTGCTGTGTATCTTCCCTTTCTAGTAGGACAAGAAAAATTGTTAGCAGCCTGTTATTGCAGTTTCTTTCTCTGGAATCATGGGTTATGTCATTTGAGAAAAGATTGACTGTCTAATTACATAGGAAATGTCCCCCCAAAAAAGCAGAATGCTGATATAAACTCACTAAAATTTCCAAAAAGCAGCTGAATTCTGTCACAATGCCAAAAATGTTAAGGAACTCTACTTTAAATAGGAATTTATGACTTCCATGATTGTCAGTAGAGTACAGAACAGCTCTATTAGTTGGTTAAAACCAGCAGATATCCTTTCATCAACTTTGGCCAGCAAGATTAGTGTTTCTCTTGCCTGGGCACTGAATTGCTGGTTCCAAGGGAGAAGGCAGTAGGAACATAAATTGGGTTCAGGACCCCATTACAGTAGCTACTGTGCAGAGAAACTGCCCTGAGGAGCTTCCATTAGCTCTGTAGGTCCACTGGAATTAGGCATCCTGCTGATGCCTGACTTTAGGTAGAAAAGGTGCAATATTTGACAAGAAAATTCTGTACTTTTCCCATTCCACTGCCCGTGCTCCTAACTATAGGGAAAGATATAATACAGGCGGTTTTTATTCTGGAGTTGGACACTATCTTTTGCCATATAATGAAAAAGCAATGAATGACTAGTGATCCAATTAGTAACAGGTTCAGTTCATCCTATTGCTGAAGCTTTGCATGACATAAAAGGACTTGAACAAATGCTGTATTTTAGATTAATAAATTTTTCAGGAAACTTTGCGAACAGGTGAACTTGAGCCTTGCAGGCAAAGGCTTTGCCTTGATTTAGGCTGCTCTGTGAAGTCTGGTTGAAGCAATTGCTTGGCACTGAAACCTTTTGCTGTGTAGTTCCAGAATTGCCTTTTGGTTTCTCTTTGCTGCCTCTGAAAAGGAAAAGTCTGGTTTAAGGTTCAAACCATTGGCAAACAACAAGGAATCTGGTCTGAGTTCACTACCAGGGTGGTTTGGGCAGACCCAGATGCGACTGTGCCATGAATGCTGCTCCTATAGCCAAAGCTTTGATAGCTGCTCCTTGCTCATCATAATCCTCAAGCACCTTAATTGCACCAAGAGAGCAATCCCCTACCTGATGAAATTGCCTCCCATTTGGTCAGGTTCTGTGGAAGTGAGGTTGAGCAGGGAGGGTCTTCTCACCAGATTTACAGTTTGGAGGGTTGTCTGTAGTAATCAGTTCTGGCCTCAGCATCACAGCTCAGCACTGTTTGCTTTCTGCTTAGCTCGTTTTTCACTTCATTCCTTTTATTTTAGGAAATTCCCAGAACTGTTCACTTGGTTTAAAAACTTTCTGGGCTATAAAGAGTCTGTTCACATGGAGACGTATCCCAAGGAACGGGCTACTGAGGGGATTGCCATGGAGATTGACTATGCCTCCTGCAAGAGGCTGGGCTCCAGCTACCGAGCCTTGCCCAAGAGCTACCAGCAGCCCAAGTGCACAGGGCGGACTCCACTCTGCAAAGAGGTAAGGCAGGAGCTGTGCCACACAGGAAGGCTCTTCCCAGCCTTTTTAAGGCATTGGAGCAAAACAGAGCAGGATGGGGAATTCAGTTTGTATCCCTGTGTTGGAAAAGTTCCTGGGGATGTCAGGGCACGTCTGGTGGTGATGAGCATGGAGCTGGGGCCAGGCAGCTGCCTGCTCAGCACTGATCCACACTGCTCCATGCTGCTCCTGCACCCATGTGTGGGCACAGCATCCTGGCTCGGGATCACCACGGTGCGTGTGGCTGCCCGAGGGGAGCACACCTCAGGAATTCCTGGTGGCACTCCCATAAACCACTGGATCATATCCAGGAGCTCTTGCACAGGGTGAGGCATCAGTCTAGGAATTGGGTGATGCTGGAAGCTGGCTGGGAGTTGTGGTACCCACGTGGCTTTGATGGTTGGCATCAGCTCTTCTCCAGCAGCTTTTGTGAAAAGTTTGTGTAGAGCCGTGGGGGGCAGGTGGAGAAAAATGTACTGAATAGCTCTGAGGGTTAATTACTGACATACCTAATGCTCCTACATTTTATTTATGATGTGTTACGTAGTACAACTTGTGAAAGGAACATTAAGATTGCGAACTTAAGTAGGAGATGACAGAACTGGTTTTCTGTGTGGTCTTAATGTGATCTCAGAGGTGTTTTATGAGGTAGTACGTAATTCAGTATTATTACTACCTTTATACCTAAATTCCCACTTAGCCTGCTTTCAGAGTTGTCTCTAGGCCAACTTTAAAAGAAAATAATGTTTTCTGTAGACAGATTCTCCCATATATTCCCTCAGATGCATTTTTCTTTCACCCTGAAATGCTGAATTTTTAATCCATGTCTTGCCACGTCTCTCAAAAGCCTCCTGTGTGATGCAGTTACAAACTTTTCTCTCTGTGAGAATCTAATGACTCAGTTGTTCAGGCTTTAGGTTTATGGAAACTGGACCTGGCTTTCAAGACTGCCTGCCAAAATCATTGTTTCTTTGCCTTCAGCCTCTTTGAGGTTGTTGTTGCTTGGTTGTTTGTTTATTTGCTTTTTAATGTTCTGCTCCTGTATTGAAAGCTGCAGGTGCTGGGTTGTTTTGTCACCAGGAAAGAAGGTGCTGGGGTATGGTTTTATACTTCCAGTTAGCCTTATTTGGAGGCAGCAACTGTGTCCAGTCTAACAGTCAGGTCCGCTGTGGTGACCACACAGTGTTGATGATGAATCACACATGGGGAACCAGCTGGTTGCAGCTGACTAATCCAAAGTAGCAGAAAAGCTCCTTTCACCTTTATTTTCCTCTTCTCTCACAAGTGTTTTCCTCACAGCTCCAGGCTATTAATTTTTCAGGCTGCCGGGGCTGTTTGGGTTCTGGCTGTTTGGGGTTGCCCTGTGAATGCTGGGCATTTTTTCCACCTGGCAATTAGGTTGTCCCATCAGCAGATGGGTCTTCAAACTGGCCAGATGTGATCTCCTTGGGCAGTGACCAGGACTCTTGTTTTCCCTCTGCCTCCCTCTAAGGTTTTGAATGACACCTGGGTCTCCTTCCCATCCTGGTCTGAAGATTCCACATTTGTGAGCTCCAAGAAGACACAATATGAAGAGCACATCTACAGGTGTGAGGACGAGCGTTTTGAGGTAAATTGCCTTTCCTTGGTTCACGTCTGGAGAAGCTCTGTTCTGTGAACAGTTAGTGAGCTTGATGGAATGATACCTTCAATTCTGCATGCTTTATTGTGTCTGCCACCTGATTTTTGGCATGAAAGTTTTTCTCTTCATGCAAGAAGCAGTGGCTGCATAACCACTAAGCTGCCACCCCTGCCCCTCACCTTTTGTGCAGAGCTCTTCGTTCACCCCATTCCACATGAAATTGTTGAATGGCCAGCATGGAACTGTTGTATCTTTTCTGTTCTTCCTGCCCACGTAATGCATGAGAACCTGCATTCCCCTGTAATCATCTGCAAAGCAATATGTTCAGGATTTTAAATGACTGACATTTTGACTGGAAATGGAAGTTAGCTGGGCAATTACCTGAATCTGCACAGATTTGGCACGTCCTTTTGTAGAGTAACTGTCAGTTGTGTTCTATTCCCAGCTGGAAGATGTAATTTCCAAACAGTATCATTCTGGTAGCCTTTAAATTCTTACACAGTATTATTTAGGTAGCAGATGAAATATAATTGGATTATTTTAGAGCAGCTGAACACCAAAGTGCTCAAGCACACCTTGTTAAACAGGCGCAGCTTCTTGTTTCGTGTCACTTGAATGTTTGCCTCCGTGTTTTGTCTATTCAAACCCTACTAATACATTGTTCTCTCCAGCTGGATGTTGTCTTGGAGACCAACCTGGCAACCATCCGCGTTCTCGAGGCAATCCAGAAGAAGCTGTCACGCTTGTCTGCAGAGGAGCAGGCCAAATTCCGGCTGGACAACACCCTGGGGGGCACCTCGGAGGTGATCCACCGCAAGGCTCTCCAGAGGATATATGCTGACAAAGCAGCTGACATCATCGATGGGCTGCGCAAGAACCCGTCTGTGGCTGTCCCCATCGTACTGAAAAGGTACTCATGGCCCCAGCACCCTGCCCCAGGGTCCCTGCCAAAGGGTGTTACACTGTGTGCCCTCCAAATTTATGGAATAGTGCGCCCTCCACAAGGCTGTACATTTGTCCCGAAAGGTTGTGGCTGCCCCACGACTAGAAGTGTTCAAGGCCAGGTTGGACAGGGCTTGGAGCAATATGGTGCAGTGGAAAGTGTCTCTGCCCATGGCAGGTAGTGGAACAAGATGATCTGTAAGGTCTCTTCTCAACCAAACCATTCCATGATTCTATTATTCTCTGAAACTAAGAAGTTCATTTATATTCTGGGCAGTTGGTGTATTCCATAATAATCACCTAGAGGGAATTACCCTCCTGAAACAAAATCCTTACAGCTCAGCTGGAAGGATATAGAGCTTTTGTTGTCTCCTTTTTAACTTTTTTCTTCCCTGGTGTCAGCACTCTGTATAAGATAAAGGAAATGTTGTCCCAGGGCTAAATGTGATCCCTTTCCAAATCCTGTGGGCGTATGTGCCCAGATCATGTCTCTGCTATCCTCAGGTTCCCTTGTCAGCCTCCCCTTCCTCAATTAAAAGGGGGTGAGTGGATGCTGCAACTCCTTGGGGAAGGTCGAGGAGATGTATAAGCAGTACGTGCTGTTTTATCTCTGTGGGACTCCTGGTCCCATGTTTTGGAGTTCTGGAGCTGGGTGTAGCAGCCTTCCCAGGGTACCTGCAAGGTCCCAGTTTCCCTACCCTTCTTGGACTAAATCAGGGGTGCTTTGCTTGGGATGCTGAGTCAAGGTTCAGGCGTGCATTCCCAGGATACTCAGGTATCTGTGCTTTGTTCATTGTCCAAACTAAGCTGCCCCTGTTCCACAGGTGGAGCTTTCTGGGCATTCCTGAGAGACCAGGGCCAGCTTTTTTCCTTCCCTGTCCCTTTATTCCCTCTCCTGCATGAGCTGCTTTGTTCCTGTGTGGTTTTACCTAAATGTGAAAGAAACCCAGAGTGGTTTCTCCAGAAGAATATGTCCAGGGGACACGTCCTGGAAAGCTCCTTTCTGTGGGATATCTTTGATCCATGCCTATTTCATTGGGAGTTCAGCTTTTGCCAACACTCACCAAGAACCACGGGCAGAGATTTTTCTTGTATGCATACCTCTTAGCTCACCTTCGTTTTCTTGATACAAGGTTAAAGATGAAAGAGGAAGAGTGGCGAGAAGCCCAGAGAGGTTTTAATAAAGTCTGGCGAGAGCAGAATGAGAAGTATTACCTGAAATCCTTGGACCACCAGGGCATCAACTTCAAGCAGAATGACACCAAGGTCCTAAGGTCAAAGAGTCTCCTTAATGAGATTGAAAGCATCTATGATGAGGTAAGATGGTCACCAATAGTTTCCTTCTCTCAAGCTTATGTACTTTGCTAGTGCAGTTTCAATTCCTGTTCCTCACAGCTTGATGAGGGAGGAAATCTGTTCCACAGGCAGAGCTTTTAGCGGGCTCTCGGGTGGTGGACAGGGATTGTTTAGGCTGATTTTTATGTTGTTTCTCCTTTGTAGAGGCAAGAACAGGCTTCAGAAGACAATGCTGGAGTCCCCACAGGCCCACACCTCTCACTAGCCTACGAAGACAAGCAGATCCTGGAAGATGCTGCCTCTCTCATCATCCACCACGTGAAGCGGCAGACGGGAATCCAGAAAGAGGACAAGTACAAAATCAAGCAGATCATGTATCACTTCATTCCAGACCTGCTGTTTGCTCAGCGAGGTGAACTCTCGGATGTGGAAGAGGAAGAAGAAGAGGAGATGGATGTGGACGAAGCTACCGGGGCTGCAAAAAAGCACAACGGCGTTGGGGGTAGTCCTCCCAAAACCAAGCTGATGTTCAACAACACGACAGCCCAGAAGCTGCGGGGCATGGATGAGGTCTACAACCTCTTCTATGTGAACAGCAACTGGTACATCTTCATGAGGCTGCACCAGATCCTGTGCCTGCGGCTGCTGCGGATCTGCACCCAGGCCGAGCGGCAGATCGAGGAGGAGACGCGGGAACGGGAGTGGGAGAGGGAAGTGCTGGGCATAAAGAGAGACAAGAGCGACAGCCCTGCCATCCAGCTGCGACTGAAGGAGCCCAGTGAGTGACTTCTGCTGGGAGATTGGGGGGGGGAAAAGGTGGTTCTTTTTGTGGTATGGTGACAGCAATGACCCTTTAAGATGGGCTCTCTTTTATTATGCCTTAGGAGATGGGAAGGTGTGGAGAACGTGGGACTTGGAAGGATAATACGCAACAGTTATTTCATAAGGGCTTCCTTTGTACACTTGCATGTCCTCAAGTTCCCTAAGTAGAAGGTTTCAGAAATAAAAAGCTCATGGAGGAGGCTACAGCTAGAAAGCAAGAGATTAGAAAATAACCTGTGGCCTTAAAGGGACTTATTTATGTCCATAAAAGACAAGTTCAAGCAACTCTTCAGCTTAAGTGGGTCACCTGAGGACCAAAACTCACAGGTCCCCTTCCTGGGGGTGGCGTGCCCGTCTCTCCCCTTCTCTCCTGTTGCAGTGGACATCGATGTTGAGGATTATTACCCAGCTTTCCTGGACATGGTGCGCAACCTCCTGGACGGGAACATGGACTCGTCGCAGTACGAGGACTCCCTGCGCGAGATGTTCACCATCCACGCCTACATCGCCTTCACCATGGACAAGCTGATCCAGAGCATCGTCCGACAGGTGCCTGCCAGGGCGCTGGGTGGGGCGGGGCAGAGGAAGCAGCCAGGTGCTTTGCTGCAGGGAGAACCCATGCTGGCACTGGAGGCCGTGTTGTGTGTCTGCATGGGGAATTTCAGGGGTAAGCAGGTAAATTCAGGGCTTTTCTTCATCAAGCTCTCTAACCCTCATAGTAGAGAAATGATAGAAGGTGATTTCTGATCTGTTTGAATTATTGAGAATATCCTCTACGGAGCTGTCTTTGTTTTCCAGATGTTTTAGGATGTAAGTATTCAAAGCATGTCCAGAGCTAATCTTGCTTTAGCTTTGTGGGAAAAAAAAAAAAAAAGAAAAGACATCTAAATAGTTCCTTTCCTTTCCATCAGTGCTGTAGGACTGCACACTTTTTAGAAAAAGCTTTTGTCCCTTTTATCTGCTGGAGTAGCTCATTTTGGCTTTTAAACTCTAGTCCTTCTATTGGATTGGTAGGAAGAATGTGTGAGCAAAGGAAAAATTCTTGTGCCTTTTTGTAGCATAAAGAACAAAAACAGACACAAGGGGCTGGAAGTGGAATAACTTGAAAGGACTTTCCTCTTTCAGAAGGGTAGAGCTGCTCTTCAGAAGCCCTTCAATCCAGAGATTAACTGAATTCAGAAGACAGTTGGGAGACTTTTGATTTTTAAACTTGCACAAAATACGGATTTGATCTTAAACTTCCCACCCCTCTCCTCAGACACAGCAGCAGCCCCTTGGTGAGGAGAGGACACGCTGTGTCACAGAGCTCTGGCCCTTCCTCCCCTGATGCTGCTCAGAATGTTCTCTGTGTGTAGTTTTTCTCTGAGTAGCTGTGCTTTGCCACCTGCTAATTTTTCTGAAGATATTGTGGGTTTTCACGTAGTAGCAGAGATCATCTGCAGGTGGAAGAAGTGAAGGGTTTTTTTGCTCATGCTCACTCCCGTTGTTACGCCCTTATTTTGTTCTATTCTATGGGGCTGTAGCAGCCTCCCTGACTCCCCTGTTGCTCCCGTTTGCAGCTCCAGCACATTGTGAGTGATGAGATCTGTGTGCAGGTGACAGACCTGTACCTGTCAGAGAACAGCAACGGAGCCACTGGTGGTCTGCTGGCCTCCCAGTCCTCCCGCACGCTCCTGGAGGCCGCGTACCAGCGCAAAGCCGAGCAGCTCATGTCTGAGGAGAACTGCTTCAAGGTAAAGCCACGCCCTGAAACACAGCCTACAGCCAGCAAGAGCTGAGGGGGATGCCTTTTAATAAGGCAGAGGCACTGGCCCTTTAAAAAAGAGCCTTGTTTAGGTGCCCAAAAATGAAGAAAATTAACTCCATCCCAGCCAAAATGCAGCGCACATGCTGCCAGCCTCTGGAACATAGGTTAATGCTTCTGTAAGGGCCCCTCAAATGAAGTTTCAAGGAGGAATATATTTCCTGGAACAGCAATGAATATCCCCTGTGCTTTACAGCAGCTTTGGCCTGTATCATACTGAGTGCTTGGCTGCCACTGCTTTTAATTTGTTAGCTGAAACTCTCCCGGTCCTCTGGTGTTTCAATTTTGTCGACTGTTGGGAGATCTGCCACTACTGACTGGGCATTAAATCACTGCTGCCTGCATGCATTGCTAATAAACCTGTGCTAATCAAATCCATACTTCCTTTGCTGAAGAGGCAGGAAGTGGTCAGGCCCTTTCTGAGCCAGAGAAGTACTTTGGATAGAAGCCTGAGTGTATAATATCTCTTCCCGTGCCCTCAAACTTACTTTGGGGGCTCAAGGAGGTTTCCTTTAGAACTGCCAACTTGCTTCATTGTCCCTTTGCTCTAGTGAGAAATGAAGGTGTTTGTTTCTATTTCAAACCTCCTCTTACTGAAGTTCCTTCTGCTTTTTTTTTATAGCTGATGTTCATTCAGAGCAGAGGTCAAGTTCAGTTAACCATTGAGCTGCTGGACACAGAAGAGGAAAACTCGGATGACCCTGTGGAAGCAGAGGTAAGGGCAGCTTGTCCAGAGAGCTGACTGTGCTGGTCAAGGTTGCTCTGGACCAGAGTTGACTGGTGTTGTGATCCATTAGCACAAGACAAAGAAACATCAAGGACATGCCATAAAGCTTCCAGTGACGTAAGCAGGCAAATCCTTCCTGGCTTATTTTGTATTAGAAAATACTCAAAACCACATAAAGAAACATTGTACCTGCCTTTTTGGGTATAAGATGCACAGAGCCTTCAGAATGGATGGTGTGTTCTTCTGCATGACCTCCAGCTCCTCCTCAGCCCCCTCATGCTGTTTGGTGGGAGGGCAGTGGCTGATATGTGCTCTGTGCTTGCTTCCAGCGCTGGTCCGACTACGTGGAGCGGTACGTCAACTCTGACTCTACCTCCCCCGAGCTCCGTGAGCACCTGGCCCAGAAACCTGTCTTCCTGCCCAGGTGAGTGGCCAGGCTGTGCTGGGAAAGACCCTTAAAACTCATCTCATCCCACCCCCTGCACCCCTTGTGCAGAGACACCTCCCTCCGGACCAGGTTGTTCTAAGCTCTGTCCAACCTGGCCTTGAGATCACCACCCTCACCCAGCTTTGCAGTGCCAGGGGGTGGGCGCTGCTAATTCCAAGAGGGGTTCTCTGCTTTGCAGGAATCTGAGGCGGATCCGCAAGTGTCAGCGTGGTCGGGAGCAGCAGGAGAAGGAAGGGAAGGAGGGGAACAGTAAGAAGTCCATGGAGAACGTGGAGAGCCTGGACAAGCTGGAGTGTAAATTCAAGCTGAACTCGTATAAGATGGTGTACGTGATCAAGTCGGAGGATTACATGTACAGGAGGACCGCGCTGCTGCGAGCTCAGCAGGTAGGAGCCAGCCAGGGAAACGGGGTGGGCTGCTGCTGCTTCCTGGGGTTTAGGGGAAAGAGGGAGCCATTGCCTCTCTGGCTGTTCGGGAAGCTGTAAAGGTTTGGGTTTATCCAAGAGGAAAAGAGCTTGTGACTCCAGATGGGTCAACTTTAGGAGGATTGCAGTGGGAGAAATGGATCTGGTGGTCTGGATGCTTTGACACTCTCCTTTTCTCATATTATGGGAGTATTTCCATCCACTTTCATCACGTATTTCGATTTATAAAACAACTACTTAACATGTTTCTTGCTGATGAGATACAGAAAGTGGTTTTACTTCATCTCTCAAACTTTGCATCCACATCAGATTGAGAGCATTTTATTGCAGTGTAGTGACTCTGAAATGCTGATACTGAGGATTTTGGTTGAATTCCCTCTATCTCATTCAACTGGCACAAACCTTAAGGAAATGTAAGCTTATAAACAGGATACTGTGTGCCAGTGCTCTTCACAGAGAATCTGAACATAAATTCTTGAAGTGTTAAATATGTAGTGTGCAGCTTAGCCCTTGGTTACTGGAATACACTGAGGGAGCTGTAGAAGATACATTGGGTTTTGGAAACAAATCTATTGAATTTAGCAGTTAACACCCCAAAGCAGTCAGTCTCTGGGAGAAAAACAAACAAATAATAAAACGTGTATGGTTTAATCTGGAGGTTTAATTATATTGGCTGTTTTCAATTATGGCTGTAGCCATGGCTTTATACCATCTGTCCTGGATTTTACATTCCTTAAGCAGATGCTTTTACCCAAAAAAGTGCACAGTTCTTCCTCTCCTGATGTTTCTGTTAAGTCAGAGTTTCTTGAGCCTGCTAGACCTGACCTGGGTGTTAATTTTCTGTAGCAATTGTGTTCCCAGCATGTTGAACTTGCTCTTTCCTGGGGGCTGGAAGCAGACCCCAAGGGCTGGGAAGAGCAGGACACGCCTGGTCTTGTATGCTAGCAGAGGAGGCAGCAGCACCTTTTGGGCAATGCAGAAGGGACTCGCTCTGAGCTGGGCATGTAATTTTCAGGCTCCCACTGGACATATTCTGTGTCCCCAGCCTCTGAATTGCTGTGTTAAACAGAGCATAAACTTTTTTGTCCTTCTGAGCTCATTTTGCCATGAATTTTCTTGGAGACCAGGAGACCTTATCAGAGCTTTCCCTCTGTCCAGTGTCTGCATTACAAATTCCCTCTGTGTTTGATCCCCTTACCTGTGCCCACCAGTAGCCAAGCTTTGTGTTATGCTGCATTTTGGGGCCCGAAGCTGCCTTCCCCTAACACCTCTCCCTGTGTCTGCAGTCCCACGAGAGGGTGAGCAAGCGGCTGCACCAGCGGTTCCAGGCCTGGGTGGACAAATGGACCAAGGAGCACGTGCCCCGCGAAATGGCAGCCGAGACAAACAAGTGGCTCATGGGTGAAGGCTTGGAGGGCTTGGTGCCCTGCACCACCACCTGTGACACAGAGACCCTGCACTTTGTCAGCATCAACAAGTACCGCGTCAAATACGGCACGATATTCAAGACACCCTAAAAGAGTCCCCCCCGGGGCGAGGGCAGAGCCCGGGAGATGTGTGTGTGTGCGCGCATCCAGGGAAGGAGGGAGATCCTTTCTCCCCTCACCGTGTATCTCCGTGACATGGCCACTTGACTAGTGCGTGGCTGGTACAGCCTGTCCCGGCGGGATTCCCCGTGGGGACACGGATCTCCGTCCCGGGGCCGTGGGCTGCCGGCCCCTTTTTGGGCAGGAAGGACCCTTCTCTGAACTGAGCCATCCCAGAGAAACACCACGAGCTCGTACACACCAGCAGCGTTGAGGCTTTGACTTCCCTGAGCGGCGAGGGAGGGGATGGGATGCTTCCACCACCACCGGACCGCTTGGATGTGTCCCCAAAATCCCCAGGTGCCTGTGGCCACCGGATTCTCCTCTCCTTGCGGGCTCCGGCGCTGGGGCCACGGGGCAGCAGACCCCGGGTTCCTCTTGCTCCCTCTCCTCCCTCCCAGGCTGGACTCACCCTGTGCAGATCGGTCTGTCCTTTCTAGTGCCAGTGGAACTGTTTTATTTTTATTTTGGGGTTTTGGTTTTTTTGTTTTTTTGTTTTTTGGTTTTTTTTTTTTTATGGTACCTGCTTGTTTACTAGTCTCTCCTAGTGCCATGCACCAGCTTTTCACACACATGTACGTACACACACACAGCAGAGAACAACACGATTTTAACATGTTCCCCTCCTTTTTTTGTAAATAAATGTACAAATTGTCAATTTTTTGGGTTTTTTTTTTTTCCTTTTTGGTTTGTTTTGGTTTTTTTTTTTTTAATTAAAGGAATTATGCTTGATGTGCTAGCATAACTGTACTAGCTTCTTGTGTACCATAGTACCAGGTGGCTTGAGAATTAGTACCGACAGACCGATGGAGACATTTATTACACTTTTTACCAAAGGGAGTTATCATTGTAGTGCTTTTGTGTGGAAACTTTTTTCTCCTTTTTTTGTAAATAAAAAAAATAATGTCTTTGTTCTTAACTGGAGGAAGACACTCGCTCACCCACAGCCGTGTTCCTGGTCTGAAAGGCACTGTTGCAGCATGCAGGTTTTGGGGTGGGAAAGGGGAGGGAAGAGGGAGGTGTAATCCAACCCCTTTTCTAAGGCTGGCAAGAGGAAACAGCAGAGGCAGCGTGTGAACTTGGGGGTTAAACAACTGAGGTATAAGCACCCTGAAAGAGATATAAATATAGAGTATATAATTTTAAATTTTTTAAATTTTTTGTCTTTTTTCCTGGTGGGTAATTTTTATCCGCCTTGTCTTCCAGCTCCAAGGATCTTCGCTTTTGGGAAGTGTTGCTGAGCAACTCAGCTGGGGCTGATTGTGCTGATGTATTTTTCCCTTTCTGTGTCGGAGAAAACATCGTGGGAAATACCAAGCCAGTATTTGACAGAGCTGCTCTGTGTGTGTGTGCGAGTGTGTGCAGGAGAAGGAGGAGGGGACTGGGGGCTCTTGGTGCATTTCACTCCGGAAATTCACAGATGGGATATATATTTTTTTAAGCAGAGAAATTTAACGCTGGCAGATACTTAAAATGCGGGGGAAGATTCTGATTTTAAAAATAAAGAAGTCAGCACAGACTTTGTAAGCCACGACAGCCACCACTGTACTGTGTCTTCTCAAAAGGAGGCGGCTTTCCTTGCAAAAATCCACGCTGCCAGTCCTACCCACCTGGAATGGCTTCCCTGGATGGGGGAGCCACGAGCAGGGCTTTGCCACAGCTTCAGCCTCTCCCTGTATTTTGAGGCAGCAGGTTCACAGAATTGCAGAACAGCCCGGGTTGGAAGGGACCTTAAATACCATCCAGTTTCAGGTTCTCTCCTCCTGCCACCACAGCTCCTTCCCTTCCGTGGAGAGAGGCCGGGGAGCTGGAGCCGGGGTGGAAGTCACAGCCCCGAGAAGCCACGAGTCATTGGCAGCCAAGGCACAGCAGGCAGGTCTGGAATGGGAGCCTCCTATGGAGAGAGGAAAGAAGGAAAAGCCCAGCAGGGGCTTTTCACATTTTGCTAGCAATAAATCACCCATCTCGTTTCTCCTCCTTTGCTGTAACCAGGCAGGAAGGGGCTCTCATATGTCCCATTCCAAAGGTGTCATGCACGCTCCCCTATTATTTCCCCCTTTTTTTTTTATTCTGGTGTATGCTCAAGGTGATCTGGAAGGGAGAATCTTTGGTGATTTAGACTTTTAAGCAGCTTGGAAGCAGCAGCTGCTGCTGCTTGGTCGGGATCCTGTCCCAGGAGCCTGTGCCTGTCACTGAGCCAAGGGGCGCTGGTGCAGGTCCCTGGGACACACCGTGGGGACACCTCTGCCTCTGGTGCTCCATCTGGCATCTCAGCTCTGCTCCCAGCCTGTACAATAGCAGAGCTTTGCTTTTTTTTAAATCTTCTTTTTATTTGATCTTGCTTTTTGTATTCTGTAACGTGATCCTCGGCCCCACAACCCGTGTGATTTCTATACCAATGTTGTAAACTTGACTGTAGCGCAGTATTTCCATTAAAACATCAGGGCTGAGCATCGTGTACAGATTCTTCCTTCCCTCCTGATGATAATGATATTTTGGGGCGATTTGGAGGCAAATCAGGACATGAAGAAGAGGGTGCAGGATTGGTTAGGCTGAGGGACAGCGATGAGGGGGTTTCTGCCTTCTCCTCACCCAGGGAGTGCTCAGGGTGGGATAAGAATCCTCTCCCAAACTTGACAAGTAAACACATTCCCCCAATAGCATCAGAGACACAACCATGGTCACAAGGAGCTCTCAGAAGAAACGAGCAAGAAACTGCTCTGTTCCCTCATGGAATCTCCCTCAGGCCCTCTGGGCAGGCACCTCCAGCACTCAGTGGGGAAGAAGATCATCATCAGGGAGAGCTTGTGAGGACTCACCCACACAGATAACTCTGAGACACAGCTCCGACCCCACCGCGGGCACGGCAGCATCAAACCCTGGCACTCACGTGGGCCCGAAGGAGTCTCCCACTCGAGCCGGCCCGAATTCCTGCACGGCAGCCTCCTCGTACGGGATGCGCCGCGGGGTCTGGAAGCAGGAGAGCTGGAAGAGAGGAGGGCGATCCCCGGGGCCGCCCTGATCCGTGAGGGCCGGGCGGGCTCCGAGCGGGCGCCGAACGGCTCCGAACAGTCTCCGAGTGTGCTCCGAGCGGGCTGAGCGGGCTCCTCCGAGCGGACTCCGAACGGTTCCGAGAGGGCTCCTCCGAGCGGGCTCCGAACGGGTTCGGCCGCGCCTGCGCCGCGCGGGGCGGAGGCAGTGCCGCCGCCATGGCCGCGATCAAGCACAGGCGGACGGCTTTGGAGCGAGTGGAGAAGTTCCTTTCCGACACCTATTTCACCGACTGCAACCTGCGGGGCAGGTGAGCGGCGGGGGGGGGGGACTCTCCGGGACATTCTCCGGGTGCTGGCGGCGGCCGGGACGAGCTCCGGTGTGTCCCCTCGGGGTGGCGATGCTGAGGGGTGAGGACTCACGCTCAGGGGACAAATGACACACACACTCCTTAGTGGGCATGGAGCACTGTCTCCACGGCACAGCCCTACCAGGGGCCAACAGGGACCTTATTCCTTCGTGACCTGTTAATATTATTGAGGATGTTGGGTGTTGGCAGGGCGGTTCAGCCATGCTGTGGAAGCTCCCTGTAGCATCCCGTGGCTGCTCCGTGTGGGACTGATCTCACACATGTGTTCTCGCCATCTCCGACCTCAGGCTTTTTGGGGATCGCTGTCCCCCGGCATCGCTCTCATACTTCCAGACCCCGCGGCGCATCCCGTACGAGGAGGCTGTCGTGAAGGAATTCGGGCCGGCTCGAGTGGGAGACTCCTTCGGGCCCGCGTGAGTGCCAGGGTTTGGTGCTGCCGTGCCCGCGGTGGGGTCGGAGCTGTGTCTCAGAGTTATCTGTGTGGGTGAGTCCTCACAAGCTCTCCCTGGTGAAGACATGTGAAGACATGAGATGATAATGATCTTCCCCACTGAGTGCTGGAGGTGCCTGCCCAGAGGGCCTGAGGGACATTTCATGAGGGAACAGAGCAGTTTCTTGCTCGTTTCTTCTGAGAGCTCCTTGTGACCATGGCTGTGTCTCTGCTGCTTCTGAGGAGGGTATGTTTACTTGTCAAGAAGATTCTTATCCCAGCAGTGGTCAGACAAGATGCCACTGACATTTTCTCTGGGGTTCCAGAAGGGCACAGGTTAAATCAGGTGTGTGTATGGACAGGCATCATCCTGGTGTGTGAATCTAGTCAAGCTCGTGGGCTGTCCCCACTCTGCTTTTTCCCTGGAGGGCTCTGAGGAAGTGTGCTGCTCCTCGGGAGAAGGTCACACTGACTGAGGTTGTTGCTTGCTCTCTTCCAGATGGGAGACGTGCTGGTTTAAGGTGGAGCTGAGCATCCCCCTGGAATGGGCAGGGCGGGAAGTGCACTTCGTCTGGGAGAGCGATGGGGAGGGCATGGTGTGGCGAGATGCCCAGCCTGTGCAGGTATGGAGGCAGGGCTCAGGGATGTGCCAGGTGCCCTGCTAGATACAGAGTACCTTTGGCAACCCTGCCACGTTCTGTAGTGGTGCATGCGGAGATCTGTTCCTGTTCTTATGCCAACAATTATCCCACAGCATGTGGGACCAGCCCCTCTGTCCAGCTGGACTTTGGGGTATCTTATCCTGCTCATCCAGCCCGCTGTCATGGGATCTCTGCTGACATATGCTGAATCTTTCTGTGCAGGGATTGACTAAGGAAGGTGAGAAGACCAGCTACATCCTGACAAGAAGCCTGAAAGAGTCAGAGCCCCACAGGTGGGTGCTCAGCTGAGCCAGAGCCACTGCTGGGGGATCTTGGTGTTGTTGGAATCTGAGAGGCTGAGGACACACACATCCTTGTGTGTGTCCTGGTGCTTGTGGCTTGCTCCCTGATGGTTTCCTCTTGTCCCCACAGCCTGACACTGTATGTGGAGCTGGCCTGCAATGGGCTCTTTGGAGCTGGCAAGGGCAGCATGATTGCCCCTCCGGACCCAGACAGGAGGGTTACCCTGAGCAAGGCTGAGCTGGTTGTCTTCAACAGAGATGTCTATGAACTGCTGGTGGATCTGGAAATACTGCTGGACATGGCTCAGGTCTGGGAGCTCCTCTTCCCTTCTTTCACCTTTTCCTCAGCTTCATTGTATCTCCTCTTCCTGCTGTTCCATGACCTGAGACCTTGGAGGAGAAAATGTTTGCTGCCTGTGCTTTAGCACAATTGACACTGTCTGGACTTGATGATCTTTGTGGGTCCCTTCCAGCTCAGGATATTTTAGAGGAGGAGAAAACTGAATTGAGGGAGGCCACAGGTGTTTCTTCATCCACTTTCTGCTCCCAAGCAGGATGTGTTAACCACGTCCCCTGGAATGGGCATATGTGGAACCTGGATTTGGAAGGCATATGAGAAAAGACATGAGGCTGTGTTTGTGCAGCAGAGACATGGCGTTTATCTGTTGTGGCTGCCTGAGATAGATGTTGAAAGGAGGTAGCAGGTTCTCCTGGAGGCAGGTGACATCTGGGCTGATTCATCCCTCTCAACCCCAGCTCCTCGGGGAGGAAAACCAGAGGAGTTTCCAGGCACTGTACACTGCCAACGAGATGATCAATGTGTGTGATGTTACGGACCCCTCCACCTTCCCTGCTGCACGTGACCTGGCTGCAGCCATCTTCAGCCAGAGGAACGGCGAGAGCCAGCACACCATCCATGCCATGGGACACTGCCACATTGACTCTGGTGAGAGCAGCACAGCGCTCCCTCTCCTCTCACCTGGAGGCCAGGGTGTGCTGCCCAAGGGGAGAACAGGCACAGGATACCATGCCTTGAGAGATGGGAATGGCATCTCTGTGCTGCCACGTAGCTGGGGCGATGTTGGAATATGGGTCTGGCTAGCTGTACCCTTTGGAACACTGATGGGACCAGGGATGAGGGATGAATTACAGTCTGCTGTCTTCCACCTGTTGGGCTGCACCCCTTGATTTCCCATCCCAGGACGG